GGCTAGAACTATCAGAGTAATTATTGTGTCGGAAAAATGACTCGCTTAATGTAACGCGAACTCAAGAAGTCTGCTCAATGTCGTGTCAGGGCCTTCGAAAAATGGGGTTTGAACTGCGGGTGGAGGCGACGTCCCTACAACTCTTAAAAGAACGCATGGATAATTATATGTGTCCCCTATTGCCCCTTGAGACCATGAACTCGAACCACATAATGAATGAACATAATACCACACAAACTCCAGAGAAGAGTTATTTATGAACTTGCTGCTATTCAGAATTCGTCGATAATATTTGAAAAGTGACCATTTTAAAGTGTGCTTGTATAAATGTATATGACGCACCAACACGTAAACAACAGGGTTGTCAAAGGCATTACCTATTACACTTACCAAGTAAACTGAAAATAAACTGAAATACAGTATTCTTGTTTGGGCTGTCAAATTCCCAGTCGATTGCTGAAGGTCGCCTTCTAATGTGTATTGGTGATTAAGAAGCAGCAGAAATTCCTTTAGGAGAATCTGCAGGTCATGCAGAAAACCAGCAATATACGTTTGAAACAGACTATGAGAACTGAGGAGCTCAATCTGCTAGCAGAGGTCTGTATCTCAAGCAGACCCCAGGTACTCCGTTTGGCAGCAAGAGTTTACTAGCCGCAAAGTCTTCTGATTTGTCGTTGTTTGCCTTAAAAAATAACATGTTTCTTAAGACTATTGATTGAGCAAAGTGTCAGAAAAAAGAACAACTTTAATAGTTTATGTTACAGAAATTCGAAATCAAATAACATTTTGTGCAATGTGTAGAAACGAGATAGTCGGACGCTTGTGATAGTAGGTTGTGGGAACGTAGTCCCGCGTCCGAAAAAAGCACACTCAGCCATCAGTAACCGAGATGGCAAAATTTTGAAAAGAGCTTTAATTGTGGGGCATCTTCTGCATGTAAGAGTAGGAAAGCAGGACTTCCTTACCCAACAGGATCCACAACTGCCTTGATCCCGGATCTCGCCGATAGTAGGGTATTTAGGCCACTGTGTTCGTGCATCGAATTCCTCCGGCAGAGGATCTTTATGGCTGACCACGTGACAGACCTCGGGAAGCAGGTTGTTGCCGTGCGGATTCGGATAGACACCCAGCTGGAGGCGCGCCTCTGACAGCTTCCCGAAGCGACCCGTGGGAGCGGCCTTCCAGGTGGTATTAAGCTGCAAGCAGAAGGCATGACATCAAATGATGAACCTTATGCTTCTTTTATCAAAGCAGAGGTTAGAGTTTGGGGCATTATGGTTAAGATAAATTTTAACGTAAGCATACAGGGAT